TTTTTTTTTTTTTTTTTTTGATGATCAATTAGGGCATAGTCATTCCCTTTCACAAACCCCTTCCCAGTGATTTCATTACTCAAATTTAAGATTTCAAAATTGAAATTTTAAGTTTTTATCAATTTTTAATTACTTGCAAGTTGTACGATACAGTTTTTAATCTTTGCAAGTATGTACGGCTTGCAACAAGGTAAGGTATTTAACGAATTTGGGAAGTGGAATTGTGTTTTAGGAAAGGGAGAGGGTGAGTCTGAAGCAGAGGAAAACAAGTTGTAATCTAAGCTTGAATAAATTGAAAAGTTGTTTGATTAAGGTATTTTAACTTCGGTATGACACCAGAAATTGCAAAACCGCCAAAACAGGTTTGGGTTTTGTTTATGGCCCACTCTGGGTTGGGTTGTGTTTTGTATCATGGGCTTGTTTTAGTATAGAGGCTTTGATCTCTGTGGGCCAATTTTGTATGAAGATAGTTAGGCCTAACCTATAACATGCATGGATTTCCGTATTAGATTTTGGCACCATTGATGCGGGAACTAAATTTTGCTGGCAGTAGCGGTGAGCACTGAGCACTGAGCACTGAGCATGCGTATGTATGGATAAGGTATTTGCTGATTTTGCTCATATCTGTACTTAATTTGAACAGTGATAAATATAAGATTTTAATATTTAATATTTATCTAGATATTGAAAATTGATATTTGTTACCCAATTTATATATGTTACCCAACTTGTTAGGTACATATATATTAACAGATATACTTGTATATTTATTAAATTTTACATTGAAAATACATAAGTTAATATACAACTATAAGTTTATATATAAAACAAAATACGTGAATATATATATTCACACATACACAAGTTTATATATACAATAACAAAATGAATACAAACAAAATTCACATGATTTTGCTTTAGTTGAATCTTTATTGCCAGAAGAAAAGAAAAGAAAAACATAAACATTTTAATTTTTTAACATTATATTACAAACTAAGCATATAAAACTTGAATATAATCATTATATTATAAATTCTTTTATAGTTAAGTAATTTATGTATAAATTGTAAATTGAAATAATATTCCTATAATTAATTAATAAAGCATTATAAATATATAATCAAGTATATGAGTTGGGTATATAATACAAGTTAGGTATATAGGTCAGGTATATATGTCCGATATACATGTTAGTTATATGGTTCAAGTATGTAAGTATTAATCTTCATACCCAATACTTACCCGATATCTAATAGGTATATATTTTTCATACTCGGTATTTAACTGTCTCTTCACAGATACAAGTAAAATACTTATATAAATAAATCAAGTACCTACAGATATCAAATATACTAGTATCTGATATCCAACCCTAATTGGCAGATAGGGATACAATCTATGTAATATCAACATATAAGGACAAATTTAACAGGACTATGCTCATGTTGTTAGTTTCCCCCGAAGTCAAAGATTTTGACTTTTTAACAATAAGAATCTCACTTTATCAAAATAAATAAATAAATGTCTCACAATATCCATATAGCATATGAATGTTATACAATATCATGTATCTCATCTAATTTAAAACTTAAAAGATT